TTAACAGATACAAGTTTTAACCAAAAACCTAAGTACAGTATCTGTTAAATATCGGCACAGTGTGTATGCTGTTCATAATATTGCTGGTTTTCTTTTCCTCTGATAGTGTTATTTCTATGACAACAACAACAATAAAGTAGTAGCAGTAGTAGCAGTAGTAAAATTGTAACCAGCCAATGAGAATTTGAAATTAGAGTATTTGATGAATATTCAAGTTAGCTTCCTGTTTCCTCCATAGCAGAGATTAAGTGCTGAAGCTAAGAAAAAAAAGGTGAGGGAAATAGGATATATTTTGGTTTATGATGTCACTATTTAACAAGTGAATTTGTTGTTTGTCTGTGTCTTTTACTATTCAAAATGTATTTTTCCTGAAGACGGATGAAAAGATGAATGAAATCATGAACTTAGCTCACATGTTTCTTCAGAACTTCTGTCGTGGAAATCCTCAAAATCAAGTTCTTCTTCATAAACATCTCTCCTTATTCCTAACTCCTGGTGTGAGTATTTAATTTGATGGTGAACTTCTTGTCGAGAGTAACTTCTGTTTGTGGGATCCACGATTGCATTGCATTGCATGTGAAATTTTAAATCTATCCATTTTTTCCCCATTTAGTTACTGATCGGGATTAAAATTAACAAACAGTAACTGCAGTGGAGAATAAGCAAAATCTTTGGTTAACAATATGGCTAGCATTTAACCACAGTTATAAATGGTGCCAATGAATCTTCTGATTAGTAAATACAGAACTATTTAAGGAGGCCTTTGGTAACACCTTAGGCTAATTTTTGAGACCTGCACGCTACTGTTGCTTTTGATCATTTTTGTTATACTACCAGATATTACACTACTACTGGACAAAGAATGATAAATTACTGCTTCTGGAAACATCATGCCCTGGCAGTGTAATGCCAGCTGCGTTTGCACCACTTAACATGAACAAGATTACCAGCTTTTCATAAACATAACATTCAGCCATATTTTTTTTTTTTTTGGCTGTACCTTTTGCAGGAGGTAGGAGCAGTTTTGGAAGTTTTGGACCAAAGGCAGCTTCATGTGATGTTACGATGCCCAGCTTAGAAGATAGTCAGGCACAAAAAGATCTGAGATTGTGTTACTTTCCACTCTGGACTTCTGAAACACCTTACTTAGGGGAATAGGCAGTCTTCCCAGTAGCATTCTCTATCAGTACCTTACCAAAGGAATTTCAGTGTGCAGTAAAAACTTGCAGTGCCAATGTATTTCCTGACTACTTCAGTCAGTATTTCATGTAAGCATCATCTTTATTGTTCTTATGAGCATTTCCCCCCATTTTGTTAGCTACTTGAGGCTGAAACCATGAGGCACATATTTACAAACAACTACCATCTGTGCAATGAAATCAGTGAGCGGGTGGTGCAGCACTTTGTGCACTGCATTGAGACGCACGGCCGCCATGTGGAATACCTACGCTTCCTGCAAACTATTGTGAAAGCTGATGGCAAGTATGTCAAGAAATGCCAAGACACGGTTATGACAGAGGTACGGTAAACTAAGCATGCTACTTACATAAGTCTGATGTGCGTTCTTCCTTTAGGAGTTGTGGCTATCTCCATCACGGTCATTATTGATAGTTATGTAATGCAATCAATGTGTTAAACTGCTACTCCATGTGGAGAAAGAAAATGGAGGGCAGGAGGGGGGGTGATTCAGTCTCTGCTATGGGTGCTGCTCACTGCTTAACATGTTGTTGCTGAATCCCTCCTTTGTTGGCACCATCTCATGTACAGCATACTATCCTGAACTGAACAAAACTGATATCCTATGATTTCAAAAGCTAAACAGGGTCAGGTCTGGTTAGTACTTGGATGGGAGACCACCCTGGAATCCCAGGTGGGGCAAGGAACAAATCCTGCCTTAAACCGTGGAAAGTTGCTGGCAATAAGAAGTGATAGTACCGAATATGAGGCACCATTGGTCTGACTCTGTAGTCAACTGTAGTCAGTTGTGGTAACATTATTTGTCATACCTCATAGTAACAAGAAATATCAGGTGTTGGGGTCCTTGTAGAGTGACTTACTTGTAATGTCCTCCTTCTATAAGGAAATTCTGCTACTTCTGTGCAATAATCTCTTTTGTTTTGTTTCTTATTGGCTTACATGCTCCACATAAATTTCATTTTACATCACAAATATGTGCTTTGCACAATTTCTCAACCAAACCTTGCCCCCTGATATGTTTGACAAGGCCACACAAAAATTACATATTTTGTTAGCAATTTCTCTCTTATTTCAGGCAGTAAGACGTTAGAGAGACTAGAAATTGGCCAGGATCAGTACAAAAAACAAGGTCCAATTAATGTATGTAGGGAACAACTCAGCTAGAGAATGCTACATTTGAAATTACTCAAGCAATTGCTGCCTGAAGCCAAAGACCTTTCAAGCTGAGCATTCAGGTCCTTGCCCAGAGCACAGCTGCAGGCCATGAAGGTCATGTGAGGAATTATCTACTTATTAGGAAAGTTTTGTTCTTGAGGTGTGCATTTTTCCTCTCTTCTTCTACTCAGACTGCACCTTCTGGTAACTAGACTTTGGACTTGTCTGTATTGCTCAGGCTAAATAGGGTTGCTAGGAGGTCTGGTATGCCATTTGATGTGATCCTCACATTCAAATGGCACATGGACCTCAAGCGACCCTATTTGGTCTACATTCACCTACTGTCAATATTCCAATATCATGAAGTGGCTTAAGAAGAGAGACACCTCAGGATATTGGCAAATTAAAGACTTCCTTGGCTCCATGGAGGGACAGAGAAAGTGAAGAAAAAAAATTAAGTGTAGTAAAACAGTACAGATGTTTTGCATCACTTTTTTTAAAAAGACAAATGGAGAACTTCTTCCTGGAAGCAAAAAGGTGGTAAGAATGAGTTTTTTCCTTTGTTTATCTCTTATAGGCTATGGGCAGATTCTCAACCAGATCTTTAAGAGAGAAACAAACAAATATCTCCTTGATGCCCCCTCCTGCAAAGAAAGTGTTTAATTTGTCGATATCCTGGTGGCTCTCTTCTTAAGCTACTCCATGATATGGCTTGCCTATTGGTTTGTGAAGAGTGAATTATATAGGATCACCTCTCTTCTTAAGCTACTCCATGATATGGCAGATTCAAAGAGGAAGGGTTATTTTCCATGTGCTGGAAGTGAACCAAAATTGAGTGATCCTACCCACACCAAAAAAGTAGAAGCCCCGGACAGGAGCCAGAAAGGTGCAGTTAGGAATGCTCTGGGGGTGGGCTGGTTCACTCCAGCAAAGACATTGTCTGACAGCTAGATTTAGGAATGAACCACCCCATCCCAATAGCAAATCAAAATGGGCTAAATTCCTGCGTTGTCGCTCTCCTTGTCTAAGCAGGCAGTTGTTTACCTTCTGTCTCATAACCCTTTCAAGGAGATGGCTCAGAGGATGTATTTTGAGACCCCTTAATTCCCTTGAGTCCCCTGTTGCTCCTCAGGTCTGGGAGCCCCAGGTCACCCTCTAAAGAGGGGTCCTCCACAATGTAATGTGTTTGTGTATGTTATTTTCTCTCATATTTTCATTGTTGTGCATACTGCTCTTAGTACAGTGGTGCCTCGCATAGCGAGGTTAATCCGTTCCGGATTAACCTTCGCTATGCTGAAGCATCGTTGAACGGGGCAGGGAATTCCATTGGAACGCATTAAACATGGTTTAATGCATTCCAAATGGGCCGAATACTCACCGTTCAGC